ATATAATGATTATCCCCTAATAAATAGTCTCAACTCTCATAACACAATGCCCTAACTACACGTATGCACTCTGAAGAATAAAAATTGGAGGTAAAGATAATTGAATATTGATTAAATATATAATTGCCATAGATGATAGATCAAGATTAACAAAGGAACTTGGGAGCAATTTGTCAAACATAGATTGAACTAGAGCACCCGATTGATGTGTGAACTCGACGACTCGTCACTCGCGTCGACGTACTCGTGTAGATGTGGCTTTCGGCTAAGTGTCTAGCTGTCGACAAGGTCGCGTAGAGCGGTGAGGACACGGCGATCCAGCGGCATCGGCGACAGGGACACCAGCGGCTGCAGGGAGAGGCCACGCGCGACGACGCCTGGGGACAGAGCCAGCTGCGACGACGCCTTGGAAAGAGAAAGCCACGATGCCTATAGGAAAGTCGATCTTGCACATATACGTATACCACTATACCAGATCCGATCCTATTTCAATACATAACGGGTTCTACGTTATTTTGCATTTTGTATATGTTCCTGTGACTACCAATGACACAAACACATATATGGTGTAGTGGTAAGCACAAGTCTTCAGGACTCTAAAGTCCCAGGTTTGAATCCTGGTGGTGATTTTTTATTTAAATTTTTTTTTACTTAACCATTGTGCTCAAGAACCTTAGGTATTGCAACGATTTAGTCTTTAGTTGCTATATGTACAATCTTTTTGCAACACAAGAGACTATTACATACAACGAATCATATTTGGTGCAACATAGACGTGCTTTCGCAACCATCAAGTAAAGAGTTGTTTTGCCGTTTTATATACTAGTATATACTAGAGCAATATTCAGAAGCTTAGCACTGTCCATTGTGACAACAGCTACCCAGCGTGTTTTGCTGTTTTCTCCATCCATGCTCAGAACAGTAGTTAATGGAAACAAATGATTATCTCCTTAAAATAAATGGGATGAACCGAAACTCAGATTGGAGTATTACACATTAAGTCACAATAACTAATCAACACTGCTAGACCAAGCCAAAAACAAAACAGCTAGACCTCAGCATAAATAGAATACCATTGGCTAAGAATGGAATGTTTTTGCACTGAACCAGACAAATTAAAAAAATATGTGGATTAGCCAATGCATCTGAATAAGAATCTTGCAAAAATTTGTCTGGATTATCAACAACAGTGAGTAATTTGATCTAGTCAAGTACCAAACTTAACAGTAATATGTAGAGAAAAAAACTAAGCAATAATGCAAGCATTAAAGTGGAAAGGCTTAGGTATTGCAACAATGTAATTTTTCGTTGCTATATTATAACCTTTTTGCAATGAACGAAACTGCTACATACAACGAAACCATAATCGTTGCAACCTTAGTGATTGCAACGAACTATTTTTTTTCGTTGCTATATGTACCAATTTTTTGCAACGCAAGCGACTATTATATACAACAGAACATATTCGTGGCGATATAGATGGGCTATTGCAACCATAAAATAAAGAGTTGCAATATCACCTTAGTATTGCAACGAAAATAAACTTGCTCGCAACGCAAATCAAATTGTGGCAATATTAATCACTTATTGCAACCGTTCAATAATTTGTTGCGATAACACTTACTTTTTGCAACGATCTCCACACTTATGGCCACAAAACAATCTTCATGGCAAAAAACCAATCTATCGCAACCAAAAGTGAAAATCGTTGTGATAACAACGCTTGTTGCAACGAAACCATGCCGTTGCGACAAAAAGTGGTATAAGGGTCAGAAGTTAGTAGTGACGGTAGATGAGGAATAGGCGAAGGGACAGGGCGAAAGCCCTCTCCCTTCTCCTACTTAAAAGGGCACAACAGTTGGGGAAGGCGCGACGATCAGGGAAAGGTGAAACAACAGAGGCGAAAAACCCTCTCCCTTCCCCATTTAATGCAGATGGGATATGATGGGACGCGCCCTGACCGATGAGACGCACCCTGCCCGACAGAACGGCGCCTGATCAGACGGGACATGGCCTGGGTATGGCCTACCACTACCGCACGACCGGGCACGAAAAACAAAGCGCCACCACGCATAGGCGGCTCTCCGCCTCCCTAGGCCGGACTTGGAAAAACCCAAACAACGGGATCTCCGCCAGGAGAGACCATCGGGCTTCCTAAGTCAATCGAACGACTCAGGAAAACACCGAGAGATAGGTAAGGAGCAAAGGGACGCCCCATGTAGGCCATGCCGACTCCGTCATGAACGACGAGCATGGGTCCCGGTCGGACATTTCCGATTGGAGCTCTTCAAACCCCATCACTTGAGTCATCAAGGTAACATTATCGAGCCCCACTCTTTCTTTATATAATCATTCATATGTCCATACACACATTCATTCCATACGCCGGCGCCCCCCAGACGATTCGGGCCCGAATCGCCAAGGGGCTCGGGAACTAAGGCATAGAACATGCGGCTAAATGCATCACAATGCTCCGTGTTGCGTCACGAAGCGGCTGTTGCCTCATTCAATATGAGCAACGACCAACCAGGGTTCGAAGGCCGGCCCACGAAGGGCTCGAGTCCGCCTCACGTCAAACAGAGCCAGAGAAGAAAACACAGATGAGCCCCATGCGGCCCTCGCACAGTCTGCCCCAAAGCGGACAAGGTCATCTCAACCTTCTCGTTCGATCCTAAACCTCCACCAAACCCATAGAATCTCCATCGAGGGGAGGCCAGCGGGCCACCCGGGTCGGTCTCCGAAACGACCCAGGCATCTGCCAGGTTGCAGGTAAAGGAGCAGTGGAATGTCACAAGAGGGCTATGCCGACCCCGTCATGAACGACGGACCTGGATTCCACTCGATCATACCCGTTAGCGAGCTCACCGAGCGCGTCATTCGAGCCCGAGTGATCGAGGCAAGCGACAAAGCTCAGCCCCTCTGGCTGTGAGAAACTAAGGATGGGGTAACACACACAACTTAAACTGACCCCTACCAAGCCCAATAGGGCTCAGGGGCTCAAGACACCCAAAATGCCTGGGTCTGTGACCCCGAACTCGCCCCATCCCTCGGCTACGCCTCGATTGCACACCAACGCCTGGGTCTACGACCCCGAACTCGCCCCTTCAGGATCCATGACTCCGACTCGGCCGATCCCATGGCGCGCAACGGCGCCAGGATCCGTGAGCTCCATGTCGTCCAAACCCTAAAAACTAACTGCCTTGGCTGCGCGGGCTGCACCGACGCCAGGATCCGCGGGTCCGTCTCGCCCGGTCCCTAAAACTAACTGCCTCGGCTGCGCGGGCTGCACCGACGCCAAAATCTGTGAGCTCCGTATCGCCCGATCCCTAAACTAACCGCCTCGGCTACGCAACGACGCCTTGGTTGACGACTCCGTCTCGACTAAAAAACACGCACACACGCTCGCTGACAAAACACCCCAGACGATTCTGCCCGAATCGCCCGGGGGCTCGGGGGCTACACCTGCGGCTGCGCTCACGCGCACCCGCTGACAAAACGAAAACTTCCCCCGCTGGCAACAGGAAACCCCACAGACGATTCTTCCCGAATCGCCCGGGGGCTCGGGGGCTACACCCGGTGCGCGCGCCATCGAGACAAAAATCCCCCAGACGATTCTACCCGAATCGCCCGGGGGCTCGGGGGCTCCTATCGGGTTCATTAACCCGGGGTCCCTCATGGACCGGCTTCCCAACAAAGGCTCGGCCCAACGGACAACGTTGCGAGCAAACGCGCAAACTCATGGGCCGGCCCAAATACCTAGACGATAGACCAGAAGGATGATCCAATCTCCGATCGGAAGGCCTGGCCGAGGAGGAACGGCGCCCGTTCCGACTCCGGCCCGCCTCTCCGACCTGAGCGCTCGCTTCGGTCTCCAGCCCGCCTCTAGACGACCTCTCTGACCGAAAGGCCTGGCCAAATCACTACTTCCGACTCCGACCCACGTCTCTGACTGGGGATGCACCAAACCTCTCCTCACTGCTCTTCTCCAACTGGCGCATTCAGAGCCGACTGGGACTAACCGACCAGGGACACCCGCTCGGTAAGGACCAGGAAACGGACGAAGAAAGTAAGGCAGGGCGCACAAGTCAAATCGCAATACCAGGGACCATACCCTGTGCACCTGCCAGGCGGTACCCTACGACCCTCCTGGCACGATAGAACTCAAGCAGTATTGTAGGAGCCGACATTTTCCCCTACAGTGTTGTGGGTGCCATTAATTCCCATACCAGACAAATACGGTAAGGCTCCCCCCACATGCCTCTAGGCATCAACAGTGTTGTGGGCGCTGGCATTTACCGTGCCAGACAAACATGGTAAAACCCCTTGTATGCCTCTGGGTATCGACAGTGTGACAGGCACCGACATCTGCCATACCTGAAGAAGACGACGCAACCTCCACGTGCATATGACATTGAACAGTATTGTGGGCGCCTACCATCATCCTGTACCCGCCGGCGTGGGCAACAAGACTTAGTAACATACGCACGCTCTCCCTCTCACATGTGAGGCCATCCCCTTCATCTATAAAAGGGGATGCGCTCTCTCCAACACAAGTAGATTCATTCAGATCGGTCAAGTTCACTTAGCACATAGCGGAGCTCCCCGTCACTCTCGGCCCCTCGACAGAGAGTCCGACCGGACCTCTTGTACCCCATCTTTCTTCTTCTCGTTTGTAACCCCATTTGCAAACTTCGAGCACACTGGCTCGGGAATAAAGTCACCGACCGACTCAAACTTGACGTAGGGCACGTTGCCTGAACCAGTATAAACCCTGTGTCATTGAGTGCTAGGTCACCTCCGATCACAACGTACGGCAAAACTACAAATATTTACGTGTTGGTCACTTTCTGCACCGACAGATACCTTACCACATGGACAGTCAAACAAGTAATCCATAAAATTGGTTGTTGGCTACATATTAATTACTCTTCCTATGCCTCCAAAAAGATTACAACTCCTCCTAATCAAGCATCTCACATATATTACAAAGATATTATATATTATGGCAATGAGATATTATCATTGGCAACCCATGCAGACATGGCATAGAGTATGCGCCCCTTCCACCCTTGGAAGAGCCATTGGTGATCCACATCAACCACAAAGTCCTTGTGGTACTTGTCCTTAACCTTCTTGCTGATGCCCTTAACCATATCAGGGTCCAATGGCAGCTGCCTCAACCCAGCCCTCTCATTCCGCACCTGCCATTGCCTATACGTCTCAGGGCGCTCCACCCTATCCGAGCCCTCGCAAGCAATGGCGTTCAAGGCGCACTGTCCAAAGAGGCCCTGCTCAACCAACACGCGCTCGTCGCTGTACCGTGGCGCCAACGCATCCATCATGTCAAACAACGCAGAGTAAAAGAACAGCGCCTCCCTGAACCGTGTCACGAAGAAGGGCGCGTTGTAGGAGCTGTTCTCGATGCAGAGGATGAACACGTCCGGCCGCATCTTCCGGATGTTGCCGAGGACCATGTCCCTAGGGCTCAAGCTATCTATGTCGGCGCCCTCATCCATGAGCTTACCGAAATGGAACAGACCATTGACGACGAGCACCTCGTCGTGCTCAATGTTCAGGTCATCGACGGAAACCGTCTCCCACTTTGCCGCCGCGATGCTGTGGAACCTGAACGGGACGCCGTGCCGGCGAGCGAAGTTGGTGAGCCGGCGGCCGGTCTCCTGAATCCGAGCAGCCGGGCGAAACCCGGGCTGAGGGAGGTCAATGGCGGTGAACCTCACCTCGGGCGGTCCACCCTCCCGGTTAGCCCAATAGCCCAGCAACGTCGGCCACTGGAACCCGTAGTGATCGCCGTAGTCCACGATGTGCACCTTCTTCCTCCCGACGATGGCCTTGCAGATGGCCATGTTGGAGAACTTGAACGCCATCGCCGTGAAGCAGCACGCCGCCAGGTAGAGCTGGTAGGCCCTGAGGAGCTCCACGGCGGAGGCGCGTTTCTCCATGAGCGGCGACCCGTACACCTGGCTCCCCGTGCCGGCGAGCCGCGTCTCCAGCCCCATGGCGAAGCAGTGCGCTAGCCTCTGCGAGGAGTCCCCCCTCGGTGAGGAGCGCTCCCTGATCTTGCTCAGTAGATCGGTGGCGCTGGGGCGGTTGCCGGCGGCCACGGCCTGCGCGCAGTGGATGAGCAAGGTGCGCAGGTCCACGGCCTCGTTGGCGCTCCCTTTCCCCTTCCTGCTGGTGGTGCTCTTTTTATCGGCGTCTCTGCCGTCGTCCGCACTGATGGTCATGGCCACCATCTGCTCGTGTAGCGACTGGTACCCACTCTGGACGAACTCGTCCACCATCTCGCTTTCCTCTGTTCCCGCCGCCATCAGCTTGCGGCTCCTCCTGCCTGTCGTTTCGTCCTCCTCCGAATCATCATCACCCCAACCAGCATGCCTGTTGTTCTTGCGGCCCCTGCTGCCATTGTTAGCACTCTGTTGCAGCAACAGCAACGACATTCCATTGCCATCCACCTGCGGCTTCCACACCTTCTTCGGTTGGCGGGCACGCCACAACTTGTTGCGCTCATGGTCACCGTCCCTGTCCCCGGAGACGATGGGCATGAGGAGGCTGTTGTTGGTGGCGGGCAAGAACTTGTTGGCCTCCTCCATGCCCTTGAGGAACGCCAGGTTGAGCATGTCCATGTTTACCGTGCCACCGGCGAACATGGTGGAGGAGGCCAGCGAGTCGGCGTTGGGGTATGTCGCCGTGTCGGCCGGGTATGTCCTAGAAAAGAGCAGCTGGGAGAGCTCGGCTGGATCGTAGGGCCAGGTGGCGTTGGCGAATGCAGGGGAGCCAGCTGCAGAGGCCGGCGAGAGGGCAGTGAAGGTGCCGCTCCCAGTCCCTCGGCTGTTGGCGGCGGTGGAAATGGAATTGGCGGTGGCGTCAGAGAGGATGTCGGCGAAGGGCTGCTGGGCTTGGAGTAGCGCGGGGTGGTCCGGGTCGAAGAAGCCGTCCATCTCCTCTTCCATGAGCAAGCGCGAGATGAAGGGGAGCACCTGCAGGTCGTCATCGTCGTCCTGCAGCTGCAGGGCAGGGCAGTCGAGGTCGAGGAGGGGCGTTGGGGGAAGGTTGAGGAAGTTGGACGGAGAGAAGGGCTGCGAGTCGGCGAGGTCCGCCGGCTCGGCGGCCATGTCCGGGACCCGGCGAGTTGGCGAGAAAAACTGAATCTTTATGCCGGCCGGCGACTGCTTGCGCACTAGTCGCTCACTGCACTGGTGAGACGGGAGACATGGATGGGATGGATCAACGGGAGGGAGGGGAGTCAGGGGACGCTAGCTTAAAAGAAGGGAGCTTTGAGTTTGATGGATCGGAACGGAGCTTTTCGTTGAACAACAGGGGAAGCTGGACTGGACCTTGACGACGCCGGGGCAGGACGGGTGGGGAGCAGCAGAGCAGCGCTGCAGCAGCAGGTGGAGGAGGAAGCCGCCAGATGCGACCGCAGGCGCAGCAGAGTCAGGAAACGTTTGTTTTTCTTTTCCCTGAGCAGAGCAGAGCCGACGACGCTGGACGATGGAGACCAATGAAGGAAGACGCGACGAAATGCGGTTTCAATCGAAACACTGTAGTACGCCTGAAACGCACGAGCAGTCGAAAGTCGCTGTCGTTGAAGATCGAAGATCCCCTCTCAGCGGCGGTTTCTGTTTTTTTACTGAAAAAACAGGTCCCCGGTCTTTTTACTGCACCTGATGGAAAATGTAGAAAGGGTCTGCCTTCACATGGAGTTCGTTCACCGTTTTCTCTGATGCAACAAACCTCAACGTTTGCATGACGATTGCAACCGCTTCAGAAATTCACCCACCACAGTCAGCTTATTACAGACTGCTAACTTATACAGTAGATTGTAAAAAAAAAACTTATACAGTAGATGGGCAGCGGGGAACTTCTTTTTTAGCACCATTACTGTTTTGCGGCTGATAAACTGGCTGATGCTGTTTTGTTGTGAGAAGAAACAATGTACCATTGCTGATAAGCCGGGCTGATAAGTTCAAGCAAACAAGGCCTTATCGGTATCAATTCCATCCACTTAGGCCCTCCACGGTGTTAGACTAAAGTAAAGCTTTAAACGGATAGAAGAAGGTTTATGCCAACCTGACTATCTTGAAGCAGCAGAGGGAAAGCTTGCTAGCGCGCGCTGCCCGTTTCAGTTCCTAGCTCGGCCTCGGCGAGGCGATATGATACTACTCAACAAAGGATCCAAACATGCCTCTGGTCTCTCTCTTGATTCAGCTCTTCGTTTTCTCCTGCTGCACTGCAGTCCCTGTACGCTATCCGCTAATAGTCGTCGACGAACAAGAAAAACCCATCCGTACAACTTCAGTGCTTAGTCATGCATCTGCTTTCTTCTTTTCCAAACGCAAGGGAAGCACCAAATCTAATCTAATGGTATATAACAGAAAATGAACTTCAGAAAACCGGGAGTATATATATGAAAAAAATGATGAAAAGTAAAAGCCAGTAAGTAGCTAGGACTCGCAATGGGTCCAGGCCCAACTTTAATCCTTCCCCAGCCCTACTCTTGAGACTGGAGCCCAATCCTTGTTCAGCCCATCACTGTGTCAGTCAATACCATCCTGGCCGTCGTTGAGCTAGCTAGGTACAACTTCACTGGAACACAAGGACGTTATGGTCATTCTACGCGCCTGTTCCAACTACCCTGCTAAGGCCGTAAGGAGTTCCATCTCCAGGGACCGCAGCCTTCCGTCTTCCGTCTCACGGCGACGAAGGAAGCTGACTTCGCGGAGGCTTCTTCTCGTCCGATCAGCCTCGTGAGCTTCTTCTCGCCGGAGGCCGCGGAGCTCCAACCAAACCTGAACGTGCCCGCGGCGGGGCGGCGGCGGGGGCGAGGACGAGGAGGAGGGCGGACGAAGAAGAGGGACGGGAGGAGGTTGAAGATGACTCCTGAGTGGTAGGATTAGGATCCAATGGCTGCCATGGTCGCCTGATGAAAAAGCAAAACTGCAGCCACTTGCAGTGGAGACACACCCTAATATTTATGTCTTCTACTAAATTTATTATAAGAAATATATTTCATAATTAATTTAACAATACTTGTTTTATATCATAAATATTTATTATTTTTAAATATAACTTTAGTTAAACTTTAAATCGTTTGAGTACTGAAAATTTGAGAAATCATTTTAGAGGGAGAAAACAGGTCCAATATGGCAGCGATGGCCGATGGGTGTGCATAAAAATCAGAGCATTGATTGATGCAGCTTGTAAACTGAAGAGGGAGTTGACGTGATGCACTACTACAGAATGGACCTGTTGTCCCGGACGGTAACAGCCTTTAGTCCCGGTTACCGCGCCGGGACAACGATCCCGGGACTAAAGGTGGAACCTTCAGTCCCGGGTCATCGAGCCGGGATTAAAGAAGGACCTTTAGTCCCGGTTGGTAACAGGCCCTCCAGCCGAGCGAACCTGGCGCACCCTTTAGTCCCGGTTGGGGTTACCAACCGGGACTAATGGTTCACCCTTTAGTCCCGGTTGGTAACCCCAACCGGGACTAAATGTTCCTTTTCTTTTTCTTTTTTTTTTGTTTAATTTGTTTTCAGTTCAGTTACACGTATTTGTTTAATATATAATATGTTTTTATGTACGTATTCTACGTTGCTAATATAAATACACGCATGCATATAATTACATCTAATTCTCATCTTGAGTATTATTATATTCGAATAAAGTATGAAACTATATATATTATAGATATATATATATATATATGTATATATATACAACACTTTCATAATCTTGTTCTCGAAAATAACGATATCAATAAACATTTAATTTACATCATTTATTCCTTAAGATCAAAGTAGAACTCGCCGTTGGGATTTAGCACTTTTTCTAGAAGATATCCTGCTATTGACTCTTGAACTGCTTTCAGATGGTCTTTTTGCATGACCCTTCGTTTCAACCATTCAGTCTTGCATTTGAAATAAAAGGAAAAGTATTAATACACATATATGTATATATATTCATTTAAAAATAAATAAAAATTGATATATACGTACTCTGAGGACATCTTCAGGAGTTCTTCTTATGTGCGCAGTGATAAATTCACAAACGTAGTATCCACACAAGTTATTACCTGGTTCCTGCCGCAAACACCACTGTACGAGAAGAAGATTATTCTCATCATCTCACACGTAAATTGAAGTACGATATAGTAATTAAACACGTGGGGAAGTGTATATAGTACAACTTACTGGTATTTCAACTACATTAAGTGGTGCCTTGCAATCCTTGCGATGTTGCCGAATAAACTCTTTCCAAACCCTGTGCGACCAATAATGTACGATCGTTAATAAATTATGGCAAAGTCTATTCAATAATAGTTGTGCGCGAGAGATCGAAATTATCCCTGGATAATGTCTATCATATCTTGGTATAGTGCCCGTTCTTTTCTCAACGAGTCAAAGATTAGTAACCGACTTGAGTTTAACTCAATGACAATGAGTATCCAGTGAAAACTGCATTGGTTTATACACACACGCACATGCATATAAGTTGTATTGATATTACATAAAATGTGTAGACTACATTATTATTAACACTTACTCAAAGTTGTACGGGAAAAGTATTGTTGTCTTGTCGTCTTTGCTTCACGAAGAACTTCATGATATTAAATACGTGCTTGAGATACCCAGTGGTCCTTGACAATAATATCGGTTTTGAATACGATATAAGGATCAATGAAGCCAACACTTTGGTGTCTTGTATTCTTTGGAGCTCTCGACATCCGGAATCTATATATAAATATAAGTTACATGTGAGGATAATTATATACACGCACGCATGGAAGTGAGTTTATTAAATAAAAGTAAGAATCACTTACAAACAAAAGGAGCTCATGATTGATTTGTCCGAGGCGTCCAAGTGGAATAGTTGATGCAATTCTTGAAACTAATATGTAAGATGTCATCGCCACGGAAGTAATGATGGTCTCTAAATCGACAAAGATCCTTTGCTCACCCCCGCCACGCCTTTGCATGTACCACTTGTTGAGCAAGTACATTTGCGTACTCCAATTCATTCAGAGTCAGAGGGTTGTACAGACTTTTGCCATATTTATAAGTCTTCCGGTATCAACTTCCGAGGTTCGGATTGGAGCTTTGCCCGTCAATTGATCCAAGGTTAAACCGGTATCTTTAAAAAAGCATTAAGGGCTTGAACCGACACTTCTCCAGAGTTATGCGGTCGATAGACTTCTATGTTGGAACCATATTCATTAGCAACAACAAGATTTTGCATTGGTTGCTTCATTGTCCGAGCTGTGGGACATCCTTCCACGATGCTCTTTTCCTTTTCTTATCTGCATCTTGTGACTTCACGAGGAGCGGTCATAGTCGATAGTGGCGAAGGCTTACGAAGTTCAATCATCTTTTCTTGTGAGCATCGACCTTACCGCCTCGGCACATCTCGTGGTATGTAAAAAGTACGGCTTCTCCTTAAGCTTTGCTTGACTCTTGTTTTTGATATCTATAAAAAAAATCTTTTACTTTTTTTGTCTTCTTCATTTGCTATTTGCTCATCGGTCTTTTTCAGGAAGTATTTCTTGAGAAATAACTCTTTTTCTTGGGGTCTTCTTTTGTCACGGGACCTTAGACGTCTTTGTAGTGCGTCATTTGTGGGAGGTGGTGGCGGTGTTGGAGATCGGCGTGGAGGCGATGAGGCGGTGTTGGTGGAGACCGGCGTGGAGACGTTGGAGATCGTTGTGGAGGCGGTGGGGCGGTGTAGGAGTTGGAGATCGTTGTGGAGGCGATGGGGCCGGTGTAGGAGTTGGCGATCGCCGTGGGGATGAAGTCGTCTCTCGCCCATGTATTTGTGATGAGATGGGGAATGAATGATTAGGCTAGGGTGGGAGAGACCCTGCTATAAAAACAATTTGTGTGTCAATTATTTTTGAAGCCAATAGAAAATTAATGGAAAATAATATTTCATTCACTTTCATTCGTACCTAGGGTGAGGTAGGGAAGCGGTGGCGCCCGGGAATGATGATGAAGCGTTTGCGCCATTGAATAAATGTCTTCTCTGTTTCTCCTAGTGTCTTCTCCCCATCACCGCCTTCAATGTCAAGAGGAACATTGTTTGTAACCTTTGAGCACTCTATCGACCGAGACGCTAGCAT